AGAACACATCAGAAAAATCATCCACCATGATCAAGTAGGAATGCAGGGATGGTTCAACATTAGAAAATCTATCAATGTAATCCACCATATAAACAAACTGCGAAAGAAAAACCACATGATCATCTCTGAAAAAGCCTTTGACAAAATCCAGCACCCCTTCATGATAAAGGTCCTAGAGAGATCAGGGATAACAGGAACATACCTGAATATAATAAAAGCAATATACAGTAAACCAACAGCTGACATCAAACTAAATGGAGAGAAACTCAAAGCAATTCCTCTAAAATCAGGAACAAGACAAGGTTGTCCACCCTCTCCGTATCTCTCCAATATTGTACCTGAAGTTCTAGCTACAGTAATAAGACAAAAAAGGTGATAAAGGTGATACAAATAGGAAAAGAAGAAGTCAAGCTTTCACTATTTGCAGATGATATGATAGTTTACATAAGTGACCCGGAAACTCCGCAAGGGAACTCCTAGAGCTGATAAACACCTTCAGCAATGTGGCAGGATACAAGGTAAACTCAAAAAAAATCAGTGGCCCTATTATATACAGATGATGAAGTGACTGAGAAAGAAATCAGAGAAACATCACCCTTTACAATAGCCATAAACAGCATCAAATATCTGGGGATAATGTTAACCAAGGAAGTGAAAGACTTGTATATCAAGAACTTTGAGTCTTTAAAGAAAGAAACCAAAGAGGATAGCAAAAAATGGAAAGATCTCCCATGCTCTTGAATGGGTAGGATCAACATAATAAAAATGGCAATCTTGCCAAAAGCAGTCTACAGATTCAATGCAACCCCTATCAAAATTCCATCACAATTCTTCAAGGACATGGAAAGAACAATAATCAACTTTATATGGAAAAACAAAAGGCCCAGGATAGCCAAAAACAACCCTGTACAATAAAGGAACTTCAGGAGGCATCACCATACCTGACTTCAAGCTCTTTTATAGAGCTATCATCCTGAAAACAGCTTCGTATTGGCACAAAAATAAGCAGGTAGGCAAATGAAAACCCTGATTTTAACCCACACACCTATGAACACTTAAATTTTCACAAAGAAGCTAAAACTATACAATGGAAAAAAGAAAGCATCTTCAACAAATGGTGCTGGCATAACTGGGTACTGGTATGCAGAAGACTGCAGATAGATCCATGTTTATCACCTTGTACAAAACTTAAATCCAAATGGATCAAAGATCTCAACATAAATCCAGCCACACTGAAACTTTTAGAAGAGAAATTGGGAGAAACTCTTCAATGAGTTGGTACAGGAAACCACTTCCTGAACATAACACCAGTGGCACAAACACTGAGATCGACAATTAACAAATGGGACCTCATGAAACTAAAAGGCTTCTGTAAGGCAAAGGACACAGTCAACAAGACAAAAAGGCAGTCCACAGAATGGGAAAAGATATTCACTAACCCCACATCTGACAGAGGGCTAATCTCCAAAATTTGCAAAGAACTCAAGAAGCAAGTCTCCAAAACACCAAAGGATCCAATTAAATGGTGGGGTACAGAACTAAATAGAGAATTCTCAATAGAGGAGGCTAAAATGGCCAAGAGACACTTAAGAAAGTACTCAACATCCTTAGCCATCAGGGAAATGCAAATCAAACCATTTCTGAGATACCATCTTACTCCTGTCAGAATAGCTAAAATCAAAAAAACCGAAGACAATTTATGCTGGACAGGATGTGGAGAGAGGGGAACACTCCTCCACTGCTGGTGGGAGTTCCAACTGGTACAGCTGCTTTGGAAAGCAGTATGGAGATTCCTTAGGAAAATGGGAATCAATCTACCACAAGACCCAGCAATTCCACTCTTAGGCATATATCCAAATGAGGCAAATTCATACAACAAGGGCATCTGCTCCACTATGTTCATAACAGCATTATTTGTAATAGCCAGAACCTGGAAGCAACCTAGATGCCCCTCAACTGAAGAGTGGATAGAGAAAATGTGGTACATTTACACAATGGAGTATTACTTAGCAGAAAAAAACAATGGAATCTGGAAAGTCACAGGTAAATGGATAGCACTGGAAGAAACCATCCTGAGTGAGGTAACCCAGTCACAAAAAGACAAACATAGTATGTACTCACTTATATATGGATTTTAGACATGGATCAGGGGAGTGTCAACCTACTATCCCAGGGCCAGTGAGTTGAGAAACAGGGAGGTTCCCAAGAGATATGCATTATACCCCAGAGAAGTGGAAAGAGGCAAGATCTCCTGAGAAGATTGGGAACATGGGGGAGGGAGAGACTAGAGGGAACCAGAAAAAAGAGAAGGGAATAAGAGGAGGGTAGAAGAAGACATGGGGGAGCAGGAAGGCCGAGTCGGGGTAAGAATAAAGGAGACCGGGATGAGAGATACCATAATAGTTGGAGTCATTTTAGCTTTGAGGAGAGAGCTGACACTAGTGAGATTCCCAGAGATGTACAAGGATAACACCAACTGGAAAACTAAGTAATAGCGGAGAGACTACATTAATAGTCCCTACCTGATGATAAGGTTGGTGACTTCCTTATATGCCATCCTAGAACCCTCATCCTGTGACTAATGGAAGCAGAGACAGATACTCACAACTAAACACTGAACTGACCCCCTGCAACCCAGTAACAGAGTTGGAGGAGTGATGAGCAAGGCGGTCAAGACCGTGCGGGTGAAACCCACAAAGACAGCTGACCAGACAAGGGGAAGCTCTTGAACCCCAGACTGATGACTAAGAGGCCAACAGGGGACTGATCCAGACTCCATGAATGGAGTGTCAGTGAGGAGGCCTCAGAAATCTCTGGGGCTTTGGGTAGTAGACTAGTGTTCACCATGAGATACAAATGAACTTTGGGAGCCCATTCTTCTATGATCTTATTGGATATGTTTTCTGCCTCTTTGAAGTGGTTTTCTTCACCTTCTTCTATGTCTATTATTCTTAGATTTTGGTCTTTTCACAGTGTCCCATATTTCTTGGATATTTTGTGTTAGGGATCTGGTGATTTTCTTTCATCGATGAATCTGTTTCCCCTAGTGTATCTTCAACACCTGAGATTCTCTCTTCCATCTCTTGTATTCTGTTGATTATGTTTGCATCTGCAGTACCTGACCATTTCCCCAGCTTTTCTAAAAAACTGTGTTGTTGTTGTTTTTATTGTCTCTATTTCAGCTTTCAATCCTTGCACTGTATGAATTATTTCTTGCAATTTTCACTTTGTCTTTTCCTCCCTTTCTTTCATTTTTTGTATTTTTGGGTTTGTTTTTTCTTCCATTTCATGCATTTTTTATTTGTTTCTTCCTCCATTTTTTTAGGTGCACAATGCCTTTCCCCTTTGCCTTCTTGGCTGTGCATACCAGTGCTTATGACAGAGTCAGAGAACATCCTGAATCAGGGAAGGGATGTTAGAGGACTGCTGAAACCAAAGTGGTTGTGTCTCAACTGAGTGGACAAAACATCATATCCAGAGCCTGCCTCTCAATGAGCTCACAGATCACCTGACAGTGCACACACACTAGCGTTTAGATCCTCTGTGAAACTGCAGGCTGCAAAAGATGACTTTTTCTAAACTGTTAGTGATTATAGAAGGAACCAGCTGTGTATGCTGGACACATGTATTCTGAAAAGAAGACTCATGTTCCAGTAATAGCAGGCTGGACCTTAGGCACCTAAAACTCTCCCAACATCCTCAGGCTTCACCAAAAGCAAGTTTACACACACACACACACACACACACACACACTCACACACCTCACACACACCTATACATTATCACTATATACGCAAGAGATTAAGCGACATCACTCAGTGCATATCATCTTCAGATTTGGACTTTGGTATGGAGATGTACTCTTCCTTGTGTGTTCTGAGAGCATCCTACAGCAGTGTATGGCATAGTAGAGGTGACATAGATTTATCACAACATTCATAAATATCCTGTGAAGGGGTCCACACTTGTTCTAGCCAGAATGCATTTATTGTGTGACTCTCCTTCTAATCCCAAACAAGTACCTGCCATGAATTAAAAACTATAATAGCAGGAACTATAAACTATGCCCAAATAAGGCAATAGAGTAGTATACAGCCAAAAGAAAGGTAAAATCAGCAGCAAAAAAATGAATGAGTCTGTTAGGAAACTAAGACTTTGATTTTATTTTCAATTATGAAAAGTAAAAACCAATGTGATGAATCTCAGAAATAAAGATGCTATACCTTTAGTGATATTTTTATATCCAGCAAATTTTCTTAGGAAGAGACAAAGAATATTTACCAGGATGTGTGAGTTCCAATCTATTATTGCACAATATTTTTCCTATTCGACATGCCAGCATTTAAGATAAATATATGTTCAATAAATACAAAAAATAAACAGGGCATATTAATATTATCAGGTACCTTATATGGGTCTGTGTCCTAGATTCTATGACAATCACACATCTACATTTCCTACTGTAAAATTCAGTCTGCCAATGAACAAGTATATGACATTGCGTATGGGTTATTAGCCTCATCTATATGAGATAACATCCCTATAAACTGCTCAAACAACCAACATAAATAAATTTGGACATCTGACTGATAAGCCAAAATGATCAAAAGTATAGATATGTAGGATGCAGTTTGGATTTCATGTGATGTAATACATGAAGTGTAACACATTGATTTCTTAAAACAGTTGTGAATATTTATGTGTTGACTGGAGTTCTTTCTTTTTTGTCTTTCTCGCATTTATTTATTTAACTTGTTTCTTTCTTAGGGTGCATAAAAGGACTGGGTCTCCTTTTCACAAGTTGGCCTGGAGTCCACTCTATAGCCTGACATACCACTGACTGCATTGCAGTCCTCTTGGATCAGCCTCCCCAGTGCTCAGTTAAGTTTAGTGAATCACCACGTCTCGTTTGAGAAAGGATTTTCAAATAACCTTTACTGAACGGAGTGTGTATGGCTGCTGGTAAAGCTGTCTTCTGTTTGTCACATTGACAGTGGGTATCAGCAGTTGAAGAGCGCAGAGCAAGGGTTTTTACGATCTCTAAAGATCAACAGCAAGGGAGAAACGGTGGGAAAGCCTGCAATCAGAACTTCGCCTACATGCCTCAGCCAGAGAGGGGAACCCACAAAAGAAATGTGAAACAAATTGCAAATACTGCCTAGGGCATAAAAGCTCACAAAGGTGACCACCAGCATCAGGATGGTGTGGACTGCTCTGGTCTCAGGGTGGATTCTCTGGTCCTGATTTGGGGTGTGAAGGTGCTGCACTCTCTTTTTGTGTCTATGTAGGAGGAGGACCATGGAAACACTGGTCCAGACCATGATGCTGATGAACACAGAATGATGGGCAAATGGCAAGATGACCATGCCTACACTGAAACCAGGTGTGGAGCAGACCCACTTGCTATTATCAGTGCCATTGGCTGTGCTCTGTGAACCACTGACTTTCAATGGAATGTAGACGTTATTTAAGACACTGAAGAACCAACAGCTGTAACAAGAATAACTCAGGATACTAGGGGCTCTCCCTCGGAGCATCACCCTACCACAAGGACAAGGAACAAGAGTGAGAAACTGATAGGTACTCAGGACACAGGTGGAGCACATGTTTGTGCTACGAGCCACCTGGCGGATGAAGTACTCGATTTTGCATTTCAGGTTACTTTTAGGTTTCCTTGGGACAAAAAACATCACTTTGTTTGGAAAGGCAGTGATGAGGAGAATTAAGGCATTGGCCACAGCCACGTGGGTGACAATGACCTGTACGGGCCTCACTCGAGAACCAGGAACAACGGGAGATGAATTATGAACCAACAGAAGAATGTTGGCCAGAGTCCCAATCCCAGCCTGGCAAAGCAGGAGTGCCTGGAGAGTCACTTCCTCAGTGGTTTGTAGAGCTTCACTCTGGGAAGACATGGAGAGGACTTCAGGGCAGACTGGAGTGATAACCAGGAGGGATGCTGCTGTCTTCAAGACATATCTCAATTGTCTGAGCATTATGATGAGTTGAGTCTTCTGCTGTGAAGGGAGACACTACTGTATCACAGTATAAGAGCTCGTCCTGGAGGACACTTCATAAACAGTTCAGAATATTACTTTGTACTTTGTATACTTCCCTGTGTATCATGAAGGACATGTATTAGTGATACAACTGTATCTTTCTTGGTCACCATGACAACCACTGTAACACAGTATGGCACATAAACATGAGCAAAGGTCACAAGGGTATATTTTTGTATCCTTTGAATGCAGCATCTTTCCTCAATTATAAAATCTGTTAAGAAATACAAATGAAGGTTAGAGGTGGCTCTTCAGAGGACTCATGTTCAAATCCAGCACCCACATGGTCATTCACAACCATCTATAACATCAGTTCTCCAAACTTAATTTCCTATTATACCTTTTATGGTACTGCATAAATGTGGTGTCAGACATACAGGCAGTTAAAACACTATACGCATAAAGTAAAACTACTGTATCTTTGAAAAGATGAGAAAACAAATTTATATCAGAAAATCATGTAACTAGAGTAACCATACCACAGCTTTTGAGAATGTTCGTACAAATCATCGAAGTGATAGAATACAAACTATTTCAAAAAAGTAACTAGTTTTCTCATCACAAATATGAATGACTGAATACCAGATTAACTCAAAAATATCAGTAACCCTTCCATATACAAATAATAAATAGGCTGAGAAAGAAGTCAAGGAAACAACACCCTTCACAATAGAAACAAATAACGTAAAATATCTTGATGTAACTCTAACCAAGCAAATAAAAGACCCGTATGACAAGAACGTCAACTCTTTGAAGAAAGAAATTGGAGAAGATATCAGAAGATGGGAAGATCTCCCGTGCTTGTGGATTAGTAGGATTAACATAGTAAAAATGGCCATCTTATTTAAAGTAACATACATATTCAATGCAATCCTCATTAAATTCCCAACTAAATCCTTTACAGACCTGGAAAGAAAAATATTCAACCACATATGGAAAACCAAAAATAAACCAGGATATCCAAAACAATCCTGTACAATAAAAGAACCTCAGGAGGTATCACAATCCCTGATTTCAAGCTCTGCTACAGGTAAATAGACATAAAAAACAACAGAATAATACCATAAAAACAGAAAAGTGGATCAATGGAATAGAAGAACCATATGTAAATCAATACACCTATTATCGCCTGATTTTTTTAAAAGAAGCCAAAATTATACAATGGAAAAATAAAGCATCTTTAATAAATGGTATTGGTCTAACTGGATGTCTGCATGTAGAAGAGTGCCTGAAGATCATACCCATCACCCTGCACAAAACGTAAGTACAAGTGGATCAAAGATCTCAACATAAATCCAAATAATCTGAACCTGATGGAGGAGAAGGTGGGAATAATTGCCTGAAAGCACCGACACAGGAGATGACTTCCTGAATACAGCACCAGGAGCACAGACACTGAGATTGACAATTAATTAATGGGACCTCCGGAAACAGGAAATATTCTGTAGAGCAAAGGACCCTGGCAATAGGACACCACAGCTGGGCACACAATGGGAAAATTCTCCACCAACCCCACATCTGAAACACGGCAAACTTCCAAAATACATAAAGAACTCACTTTACACATATACATGGAAAAAATTCCAGGGACAAAGTATTTCATTTATTTATTTATAATTTTCTGTGCCTTAACTATGTTAAAGAAGAAGCAGAAGCTGGAGATGCAACTGAGTCATCGCTAGCTTTCCCTGGCCACACTCAGAATGTGCTGATACACTATCACAGTCAAACCATTTTCACATATTCCCTTAAACTCTTGCCTTTGAAATCTCTTTTTTTAGTCAGTCTTCACCAATCAGCTAAAAATCAACCGTTCCACATAGAGATCTCCCACTAAATGTCATTTTCAGCTAAGGGCTAAGCCATGAAACAGACATTTCTTTGGAATGAAGAAGTCATTTACATAGCTAAGTAAGCAAGAGACAAAAAAGGCAACTACCCTAACCACTAATATTAACTTCATAAGAGTTAAAGTAGGTAAATGTATGAGAATAATAAATGCATGTATTTTTCATAACATGATATCTGGGGCTAATTAAATGGGAAATAACTAAGTGGATGGCACTAGGCTGTCTTTTTAATTATTTTTCTTGGTTTAGATTAGTTCATATGGAACTAGTAAGAACAGTTACGGCACCTTACATGATTTTGTAAAAGTGACAAGGCAATACCAAACTTTCTTATGCTTGGCATAGTAAGTGTTTAACAAATTCTCTTAAAATTTTTATTAGCTTATAATTAAAATCAAGCAGAGTGAAATAGAAAGACAGAGTCAGTAGAAAAAAATGGATTTTCTTAACAAAATGTAATTTCTTAAGCTATCACCAACTGGCTCATGTGCTATAGGAAACTAAAGTAAATAAACCTTTAAATCTTAAGGTTTTTTCCCACCCCGTGAAACCACTTTAACCATGTATCTCTTAGAATGTATTGTCCATTGTACTATTATTTCTCCAAATATCTTGTCTTCTATTTTGCAAACATTTATGCTTTAAGCAATAAGGTATGTTTGTCTTTACTAGAAATCTAAAAAAAGAGTTAAAGTAGGGAGAAGAGAACTTTAAGCAGAAATCTATCGTTGCAAGAATACTGCCTGCCTAGCCACCCCAAGGATGGATATGCTCACAGAGATGGAAACCAGATCCTGAACACTTACTGAAGAAAAACAGCTATGACTTCTTCTCCTCATGAAGATCTTCTCTGTGTGTCTATTTCCCTGAGACAGATCCAAGGAAATGCTTCCCCCTGCCGTATTTTCCATGGAACATTGTGTAGATGACTGAATGAACCCAGAGCACCAGTGCTCATATAGGAACTCTATCTAGAGTAGCATCCCTCAGAGAGGACATTACTTTGTCATCTGTGGTGCCAGTGACAGTGTTTCCATGGAGACTTTGGGATACCTCTCATGAAGGAAAAAAATGTCCTGTGGGCAAATCATAATTTTTACCTTCTGGTTGTTAATGATAATGTTTAGAAGTTTGTCGGATGTAAAGGAATACCTGCCAGAAGTTAGAAAAAGTTTTCATGTTTCCATTGGGAATGACTAAGCTTTGAATTTGTGATGTCATTAGATGTGCAGAGGTACACTCTAGGGTAGGTCAAGGGATATGTTGAATGTATCTCCTAGGGGGTGCATTGTGCAGAACTGTATCACACTTACAAAATTATGCTGGCATCAATTCCTTCAGGAAGACCATCATCACGTCATCAGGAGTCTTGTATTTTCCCATCTGAGGGGAAAGAGCCATGCTCAGGAGGTAAGCCAGAAGAGATTTAAGTCACATAGTGGCAGACAGCTGGATGATGGGGCGTGGGGCTTAAAGAAATACTCAAGAATTAAAGCCATTACAGCCAGCATACTTAGAGCAGAGACAGAAAGAAAGGTAGTCAGAGCAGCATGGCTGTGTTCTTGAAGAGCCTGTGCTAGGGTGTGGGAACATAGGAAGGAAAACTACAGTATTTCATCAAGGTGAAATTTGTCTCCAAGCCACTTCTTCAGCATGTCTTAAGGTTAGCCCATCTTCCTAGCTGTATTCCTTTCTTTTTGTTGCATAATCCATTGGCCAGGTTATTGACACATGTAACATAACTATTTAGCCTCCAATCATGTCAGAGGTTTTATTGTCTTAAATAGAAGTAGGTTTCAAGGAGATCTGATACACTAGGAAAAGACCAAATATAAAAATACTAGGAATATGGCCACTGAATCCCCCAGAGAGACCTGGAGGCAGACCAAAGCATGCATCATCTGCCACCATCCCAGTCTTAGAACCATACCCACTGGAAGAAGTAAGTTCCAGGACTTCTCCTGCCTTTCTTTCCCTGTTGGAGTACCCTAAACTGTCACCCCAGACGCGTTCAGCCACCGAGTGCCTCAGAGAGACCTAGAGGCAGACAGAGCCATCCAGCATCTGCTGCCACTGGAGTTTTGGACCTACCTGTATACACTGGGAGAGGAGAGGCTTGGACTCATACCCACCAGGAAGGCAGAGCCCCAACCAGCACCCACTTGAAGAAGGGAAGAGAGGATGACACTATAAGAACACGTTCAACATCAGAAAGACTTACATGACATCACCAGAGTCTAGAGCATCTAAACCAGCAACAAATGAATGCCCCCAATGCATGTGCAGAAGATAGAAATGACTTTTAAAACAACTTTATGAAGAGGATAGACACCCTCAAACAGGAAATAAGAAAATCCCTTAAATGTAAGAAATGCTGGGCAGTGGTGGCACACACCTTTAGTCCCAGCACTCGAAGGCAGAGGCAGGAGGATCTCTGTGAGTTCGAGGCCAGGCTGGACCGATAGCCTCCAAAACAATACAGAGAAACCCTGTCTCGTAAAAACCAAAAAAAAAAAAAAGAAATGTAAGAAAAAACAAACAAAAATGGAAGAAATGGGGGAAAGAAAAAAAAAACAAAACAGGCAACAAATTAACAAATCTCTTTTAAAAAAGCAGGGAAAGCCAACAAAAGGCAATCAAACAGATGAAGGAAACAATTCAAATAGTTCAAGACCTGAAAACTAAAATAGAGACAATAAAAGAAACAAAAACCAAGGGAATGCTAGAAATAGAAAATCTGGGTAAATGATCAGGAACTACAGATGCAAGCAGAAACAACAGAATAAAAGAGATGGAAGAGAGAATCTCAGAGACTGAAGATACACTAGAGGAAATAGATTCATCCACCAAAGAAAATCTTAAGTCCAACCGATCCTTAACACAAAATATCCAGGAATTTTGGGGCACCATGAGAAGACCAAACCTAAGAATTATAGGTATAGAAGAAAGCAAAACAGCCCAGTTCAAAGGTGCAGACAACATATTCAACAAAGTCACAGACGAAAACTTCCCCAACCTAAAGAAACATGTGCCTAT